TCTGCCTTGCTCAATCTGCTGACTGACCCTGTAGCTGTGAAAGCTGAGTGTCAAAATAAGCATAAGCAGTGACAACTGAATGATGTTCCTTCTTCTGTTGGGAGCTCTGAGCACTTAAGAATCATCTTTGCTTCAGAGTGTCCTTCTGCCTCAACTTTTGAGCAGCAGTGGATTGCTGACCTGGTCATCCAAGAAGGATCCCTAGAGAATGAAGAGCATTCCTCCTGTGACAGCCAGAATACTAAAAACCAGCTGTAATGTCAAATAAACTGCTGGCTCTCCTAGTGCTTAGGATGGACTGGGAAGGACAGGTTTTGCTTGCAGTCAGTACCAGTTTGCAAAGCTCAGTCACTGAGCTACATGAGAAAAGCACTTCCCGTGCATAATAGTTTTCCTTCCATTCTAGTGTCTACTTCTCCCAAGGACATTAACCCCATATAAGAAGGCTCTCCATATTATTTGTATCAGATAGTTTAAAATATTTCTCTCTTCCTCCTTTCTCCAGTGCCTGATTTGCAGCAGAAAATGGAATGAGATGATGGAGGGCAGGAGGAGTGGTAGAAAATCCAGGTCTAGAGAAAACACATTTTAGGGAAAATGAATGTGAAGAGGAGGCAAGTATAGTAAGAAACAGTCAGAAAGAAATGGAGAGGGAGAAAAACAGATGTGACAGAAGCCATAAAGATTTAGTAAATGAAGTCAGTAACATTTAATAAGTGTGTAATCACGTACACACATGCTTCCTGGCTGCTGAATAGTAAGGTACCTGTAGAAATGTGTAGGTCCTCCTTGACTCCTTGTGTTATCAGCAAAAATGTAAATTTTTCAATATGGATGAAATCAAGCTCTACATCTGAACAAATATATTGGTTTCTAGATGTCTAGAGCTCTGCATACTCCATTTAAAAACATGTAGAGACAGTCTCTAGTACTTTACTAAGACAGTTTTTAGTCACCAGCTTCAAAACAGATATATGGTAATATGTACTATTTAATAAAGTTCCATCAATATTTTTTAATGGCTGATGTTTTACCAATTTTAGTGCCAATACTGTTCAAAAGGTATGTTTCAATTAAGTTTCAGTGTTCCTGAAAGGGTTGACCTTTGTGGTGTCCTTCACTAGTAAGCTAGTTGTGATGGCAGCTTCCATGGGCATTTAAGGTTTTAAATTTTAGAAAAAATACAGACATTTTCAAAAATTGTCAATCTGAATTGGGTCAAGGTGTTTCTAACTTAGTGTTCTGTTTCCAGTAAATGCCCAGAGTGAAGTAAAATACTGCAGCTATAAAGTGATAGCTCTCAAAATATATTGACATCTCCATGATTTGTGACTTAAGTTTCTTGAGCCTAGGGCTATAGCTGCCTGTGTTTTAAAAGGCAAAACAAAAAGCATCAGCACAGATTTTAATTACCTTATCCAGAAGGTATGCAGTGCATACACTTTTGCAGTCCTCAGTTTAAAGACATTTTAATCACTGATATTGCCTATAATCCTAATCATGGCTGAGTTAGTGGCTTTCATAATTATTAGATGCCTTTTCAAAAGTTCTAAGAAAAGTTTTTAAATGCTAAAGTATGTGCAAAATTGCCAGAATGCATGGTTTTTAATCCTCTACTACCTATTTTGCTATAAATGCAGAAATGCCACAGAATTTATTTTCCAGTCAAGATAAAAGCAGAAGCTTAGGAGGAAAAATTACTGACAACCCAAATTTAAAACAGTAGTAACCAGGGATAGAGGAGAAGAGGAAGAAATATTTGAGCAGCCTCAGGAGGGAAATACTATGCTCTTTTGCAAGATTTCATCTTTAACACCAGTCTTTGGCTAGTGAGTACTCACTCAAGTAGCTGGGAAGGTGGAGGAGTGTTTACCTCCTATAAGGGCATGTGGGGGTGTGATATTTGTCTATGTACCCACATGTGGGTGAAATGGAAAAATGTGGCTTATTTCCTCTTTCCACTTTCATTTAGGTAATACACTGATATAAATGTTTTAATCATAAAATTGATGAAGTTTTAAGCTGCTTTACTCCTTCTTTTGGTTTGTGTGTTTTGTTGTTGGTTTGGGGTTTTTAAGGGAAAAATTTTAAAATAAAATGTATCTGCTGAATCACTCTGCTGCAGGAAAAGGTGAAAACAACAAAAAACCTGTTCAGACTGCAGTGGTTCTGTGCAAAATGATATACAGATTTTTCTGTAACAGGTATGTTTAAAAGTCATTGTTAAATGGCCCTTAAACTGATTTGCATCCGATACAAGCCAGTGTTGGTGTAGGAGAGTGCAGAACAAATTCTGACCAGATTCAGGTCTAACTGGATTATTCACTCTTTTTTCTTTGTCTGAGACTGATGATCCAAATCACCTAAAATGGTCAAAAGGTAGTCAGATCTAAGGTGTCATAACTCTGTGAAAGATTGGTTTTGCTGTTATCACTCTATGTGTGTAATTAATTGTAAGCTTAATTATATGGGTTTGGAGTATGTTAATGTGCAAGTTACACATGAGCATTTAGAGCAGGTGTTTTTTTGCACTCATACCTTCAGTATTTATGCACAAGAGCCTTAGGTAGGATTCATGAGGTTTGCACAAGCAGGGAATGCTGATTCCTCATTATTCCAGAGGAAGAGGAGCATGGAGACCTGTTAACACAGCCTCTCCTACAGGGATGGCAGAGCTACACTGTGTTTCTGAGGTCCGGTCTGTGCCAGCACCAGCTCCCCCTGGCCTGACTGGGCAAAGCCCAGTGTGAGCCTGGTGCCTCGTCCCAGTTGGAAAGCCTGGGGTGAAGCCAGGGAGGGCAGCAAGCTGTTTGCCAGGGACTTGTGCAGTAGGGCCAGTACTGGCAAAAGGGAGAGTACAGGAATACTGGAGGGAAAATAAAAGGAGTGTCAGACACTTACGCCAGGGCTGTGGGAGGTACAAATGTTTGAATTGGCATCACGCCCTAATGTTAGCCAAAAGGTGCAGAACCTTGTTAAATTGCTCAGTGGGAGTTCAGACCCAAGCATTGTGCAGTCTGGGGAGTGCAGGATAAGCCAGACATGTACAATAGAGAACGATGGGAAAGCTGTTCACAGGAATGCTTTCTTTTATAAACTGTGTTTTTATCGGACAGCTTTTCAATTTCTCTTATCAAAGCTTGACTAAATGCTTCCCTCTTGAGAGTGCTTGAGGGAGTGAGACTGGGATTTAATTCACTAGACGTATCTTAGTCCCATTTTGGTTTGGGTAACAGCTACTGATCTGATAAAGGGACTCTGTGGAAAAAGTTACTTTTATTAAGTATGCTCTGTATGTATGATACATGCTTGAATTATTGATGGTGCTGCTTCCTACAACCTAACTGTGAGAAGAGAACTGCTCACAGGAGTTCTTGTAACGTTTTGCAAAGAGGTGGTCTAGGAGGATGAAGTCTGAGAGCATCAGACAAAGATTGATATCTCTCTAGCCAGACAGTGTCTGGAGAGTATTTGCCTCCCGGTCAGATATTAGAATACCTTTGTATTAAAAAAACCCCAAGTAATCAAATACCAAAATCCAACCTCAAGGAAGTATTTATCCTTAGCACCCTCTTCTGGGCAAGTTGACAGGTAAGAGTTCTTAAAATATTTTCTGTTGGTTTAAATTACATTGTCTCCCTGGTATCTCTGATCTTCTGAGAAGCTTACAGTTTCTGATTGAAAAACAGGACTTTACTGTGCCTAAAATAATTTTAAAATTTTCTTTATTGTGGTGGATGTATATTGTTTATATTTTTGTTTTGAATAGTTTTGTTTATAATAGTTCACCTCATGCAATATATTTTTCACATCTCCATGAAGGTGCTACACACGTGGCATTATACAGGATTTTTAGCATAACCAATGAATGTAGTGGAGACTGAAATAAGCGCTGCTTTAGACACCCAAGCACCTGCATGACAGCTGTCATTTAATGGAAACAATGTCGACCTAATTTCCTTTTACTTTCTTGCTGCCATGGTAGCTTTCGAGTAGTCTGTCATTCTCTGTGTTTGGAATGCCAGTGGTGATGGAGCCACAGGAGAGAACAGCATAGAGCTGCTGGTTTTTCAGTCATAGCTGCAAAAGGTACTCTCCATAAGCAATCACTTGAGGTGCCTTTTGGCAATGAAGAGGAAGCTTTTCCCATGAAACCATGGAAACTTGAACATTGCACCTTTGCCAAGTGTGCACCTTTCTGATCTGCCAGTTTGGTTGCTACATGGTCTCTTGTTGGGAGTGCCCTGTGGAGTGTGAGGCTGTGTCTAACAGGGACTTCTAATCTGTATCTGGCAAAGAGGGCCTTATGTGATCTTCTGTTTGTGCTAAGACTGAATTCTGCATCCCACATTCTGGCTAAGAGAAGTGTCCAAGAGAGAAGGTTTTTATTAAAAATAATATGTTTTCCCAGAAACTTCTTAGTGAAAGCCAACTCTTTTGCATTCCTAGTAATTTACTTTTTCCTCCTTTGTTCTCGGACTTGGTAATACTGCAAAAAATTCATTCTCCAGGACTCTGGAGCTATACAGCAATGACCTTTCCTTCATGGAAATCTCACATTCCTACAGTTGGCAGTTTCATACTTTACACTGAGAAGAAGGTGGATGGGATGTAGAACATGCTAGCGTGGTGAGAAGAAGTTGAAGGTGTGAAATATGAGTTACCAGTAAGGCTGGTGGAAGAAAGCCAGATGTATACAAGAGAGATGAGTAGGAGAGTAGAAAAATCAAATGACAGGCTAAGTGTTTAGAAGCTACCTAGTTATTTACCTACAGAGCCTTGTCAGAGAAATGTTACATTCAGGCTTGAACTTCACTTCCAAGTTGAAAACTGAGCATGGGTTCTCATGAATCTTCAGTCAGTTGGTGTGTCACTGATCCTTGCCTTTTTGCAGGACCAAAAATACCTTCTTCAATAGCTGTCCTTGATGTTCTGAATAAAGAACATTTTGCTTGCAGTAGTCTGATTCTTAACCCTTTCACTTTGTGTTCTTTCCCCAGAGGATGTGCTGAGTAAAGACGCTGGGGAGTGTGCAATATGCCTGGAAGAGCTGCAGCAAGGAGATACTATAGCACGGCTGCCTTGCCTCTGCATATATCATAAAGGGCAAGTATTCCTTAGGATGGATGTAAAATTCACAAGGTTGCATTTATGGGTAACTCTTCTTAAGGGGTGCTGAAAGAAGTGCTTAAACTTAGTTGCTTTTTTGCATTTAAAAATAACAAAGAAACTGCAGTAGCAGCCCTAAAGTTGATTTTTAAATTACATCTTCCTGCATCTATACCAAATGCATTTGAAGTTCATTTTCCCTGCTACAAACTCCTCATTCTTGGAAAATCACCTGGATGGGGAAGGAATGTGTATCATGGCTGAGGAGTTAGGTCATGTGGGCTTAAGTTTCATCAAACGCTAATAGAGCTGGGCAGAGAGAGGGGGGGATTGGCTTTTTAACCTCTTTCATATTGTTTTTTCATAAGTGTCTGTACTTTACAGAAAGTAAAATGTCAGTGAATGACACAAGCAAGATGATGTTAGTAGCTAATTAACCTGTGTATGAAATCTGTAATTTGTAAAATGTTTCCTTAGAAAATTTTAACACTTAAGAAATATAGGTTTTCAACACTGTTTAATACCCAAGTATTACTGTGGTTTGGGGTTATTAATTTTTCCAGTGATGTGTGTATATGCATATACTTCTTTGTATAATATAAAATTCTACTAGTCATTGAAATGGAGATACCAATTTATATTCATATCCTACTGCTAAATATTACTTGTATTCATGTCAATTGTTCTCATTTTTGTCATGTATCCAACAGCTGCATAGATGAATGGTTTGAAGTAAATAGATCTTGCCCTGAGCATCCATCAGATTAAGACAAGATTCATATTTTTAGGTAATGTTTATTTATGTTCCAACAATGAATATCTTGACTACCTGAAATAACTGTACTATTTCTTTTTAATTGTGAATTTACTGTGTCTCAGAACTACAATATTAATCAGTAAGAATTGATGTATAATTGCAATATAGGCAGAAGGCTTCTACATCCTTGCATGGCGTGGTCTTTGCAGTTTTAGTACTAGAAAGTGGCAAGTCAGTGTCAAGAAACCTTTAGCATTGACTTTCTAAGAGGATTTTTCCATAGAAATGAAACAAAATTAAAATAATACAATTATGTCATTTTGGATTGTTCTGTGAGTACTGGCATGTATTTCTGACAGAAGTCTTTTGGAATCATATGAAAAGGTTGAAACTAGGTATTTTCAAAACTACCTTAATGTTAATGCATTCCAGAATGTTTAAAGCATATAAATAAATAAAAAATGTTGACATGTTTCTCTCCCATCTCACAGAACTTTGCATTTTTCCAGCTTATGTTTTGTGTTAATGGTTGCAGATCTGCAATCTGTGTTAAAAGTTTAAAGGATAGTTTTATTCTTTAGTTGACTGACTCAGAAACTTTAACTTAGATTAAATAACTGCCTCTAAGCATTGCGAAGCACATCAACAATCATAATTCTTAGAGAAATAGAGATATCTGAAATCCTATCTGGTAGCTGAGAGTTTGGTTTTGTAGTTCTGAAGGAAATTTAAAAAAAAATCTGAAGTATTCATGACTAGCATTTATTTGTGCATTTGTTTCACGTTGCTTCATGTGTCTGTGTTGTAGGGCTAGCAAAGAAAACCTCAAGGAAGATATCCTGCTACTGAGATAATTGTTTTGATCTCAGGGCAGTGTTAGTCAAAATTAATAACCAAACACATTTCCTCTATTGCCCCCAGTCTCTGGTTGTGGCAGAAGGCTGCATGCTGTTCATGAACACCTGTGTCTCTGTACATGCTCATGGCTGTCCAGCCTCATGTTAAATTCTATTTGCTTTTTCCACAGCAGGGATGGTGATAACTGGGGACTTAGGAAAAAAGGGCAGGAAAACTCAGTTGTTGTGCTCATGCTGTTTGAATGGTTTCTGTACTGAAATAATGCTATTTTCTCCTCTGCTTTTCCAACAGCTGCTTCCACTGATCAGAAAACATAGGAGATGTGAGGTTCTCTTGCTGAACACAGCGTGCCTGGCTTGAGACTTAGTTCTTTGTGGCTGAAAAAGGCAAAGATGGACAGTACATGGAGAAAGCATTGCAGACACCGTTACTTGACAGTAGTGCTCAGTATACCAAACACTCATGCAAAGGACACACAGGGATTTTGAAAATGCTGCACATCCTGTAACAATCGACTCCCCAGAGACATTACTGACACTGTTTTGTATTGAAGGCCAAAGTTCCAAATTTCAGCCTAACTTCTGGTTCTGTGAAGAAGCGAGTTATTGGACATGTTTCCTACTGCCTCCAGTGGAAGTGGAGACGTTCGATACGTGCTCTCTGAGACCCTCGCAGGGGGACGGCCCCAGATCGGAGTGGGAACGTTTTCACCTTCTCATTGGCTGAAGAACAGTACATGGCAAACTAAATAAAATCTAACAGTGTGACCTTAATTTACTGAATTCACACCCTGTTTTACGTTCTTCACTTTTTTCAAGAACAGAAAACATAACCCGCTCTGTGTAAGAATACTGTATTTCAAAGTTTTGTAACTAAACCTTTGTCACAATGCAGTCCAAAGAGTAAAACCAAGACAGGTAACTAATTTATATTGATCAAGCTATAGAGATTGTTGAAATCTGCACATTGTATTGCTATTTAAGTAACTAAAACGTCTCTTTTATTGCTCATGAGTCAAAATGACAGAAAGAAATGCAGCAAAGCAAAATCTTACAGCTATGCAACTTTTTTTAAAATAGGAAAAAGAAATGAATTACCAATTTTAAGTGCTGCCAGTTAAGGTAATTTGTTTAACGGGTATTTTTTTAAAGATGTTTCAGGTAATTATTTTATTGTACTACTCTCATCTCCAGGCTGCCTCCTGAGGTGTAAATGAATAACTGCAAGTGTGGGCATGGGGAGAGGTTTTTATAGGTATGGGCGAGATTACATCGAGGTGGGATTTGTGTTTATTTTTCGAACATGCGCAAGTTCATGTTTCCTTGTTTGAATGTGTTTTTCGGTCACAGGATCTGTAGTACATTGCATCTAAACCCTTGGTGTCTTCTTGTGGAGACCAGCATTTGACAGTGTGGATTTTCGTTTAGTTTGGGTTTTTTCTATCTTTCTTTTTTTTTTTTTTTAATTCATCTGCATTTGTTTAATTTATTATTATTTTACTGTATTATATTGGTATACCAGAGCTCCACAAAACACAGGATGTCTCTGGGTGGGTACACCAAGTAAAACTGTGGATATGTATTAGTTCCCACAAAGTAGCACAGTTAAATTTTTTTTTTTTTTTTTTTAAAGACAATGAACTGGAACAGATATCAGGGTTTAGAAGCATACTTTTTATATCGAGAATTAATTGTAGTAGTTTCTGAATTTCACAACACAGGGAAGAGTTTATGAATATTTATTAGCAACAGTATTCTTAGTGAGTTTCAATAGCTAAAATAAGTTGCACAACACTTCAGACTTTTTTTCTTGTACATAAATAATTCTGGTTGGGTTTTGGTTTTTTTTTTGTTTTGTTTGTTTGTTTTGTTTAAGTACACATTTCTCTCTGTTGCTGCTGTGATTTATATCAAAAAGGGCAAAGAAACAGGAGCAACTACCGCTATCTGGAGAAGAAGTGCAGTTCATGTTCTTAAACTCTCCCATCTTGCTTGAAGAGCAGTTCTTCCCTGGATAACATTTACTCCTGAATGTTGCTCTGTAAAATGCCTTTGTTAAGCTGCAAATCTAAAGGAGTCCAAACTAGATAATTGTCATAATTGCCAGTGCAGTTTCTATACTTTTGGGCTTGCATCACTGGTTTCAGCTGAACCTGTAAGCTATGGGGCCCTGTTGAGTTCTCTTTTTCAGTGGGAGCAGAATCATTCTGTCACACATTCGATTCTGTAGTCACATCAAATGTACAGTCATTCCCTGTACAGAGTCCTTTTTTGACGAGAATATTTGTGTTGCCTTGTATTATCTTGGGGGAGGGAGGGAGGGGATGAGGAACTACAGCACCTGTGATACTCAAATAGTGGTGTTGCCTGCAGGCCCATTTTCCCAATGTTTTAAACTCCTGATATCTTCTGAAAGTAAAACTTTTCCATTTGCATTGATTTAATGTTTACTGTTGGCTTCATGCCTGCAGAAACTCACCTGTAGCCATGTAAAGGGGGTGGGTCAGTGTTTTGATGTCCTGTGCTCTGAGGTCATAGATAGTCTTTGGCTTGAGGGTTAAGTACGTAAATACAAGAAACATAAATCTGTGTACAACTTGAGCTCAGTTTTGGTAGTTCATACTTCTAGTTCACTTACTGTTTCCTCAAAACCCTTCATCTTCTGTATTCAGATGGAAGTAGCTGATTTAAAGACCCAGCAGTTGGGACTATTGTCCCATGTTTAGGAACAGTGTTGGAAAAGCAGGTCACTAGCTATTGCACTGGTGAAGCTTTTGCAGGCAAGAGTCCATGGCTGCTTCCATCAGCACAGTAGAGCAGCAGTTCCTTGGATTATTTGAGGAACTGATACAAGGTCAGCTTTAGTTTGATGTTCTTGGTATCCATAAATCCCTTCTGAAAGACAATGGGAGGTTTTCTTATATCAAAACCTTTAAGATAGATCAAGCCTGGAATGACCCTGGAAGCATGAGAGCGATGCTTGGGTTTGAAAACACCAGTGGAAACTCACCTAGGTAAGCTTTCTGTCACCATCAGCTGGTGATGACCATGCTGTAGGCACAGCTCTAGTCACTGACAACACCTTCATTTTGAAAATGTCCTCACAGGGATGTCAACTCATTGTGCTTCAGAAGGGAAAAATAAGCACCAAACAAGTCCTTTGTCTCAAACAAGGAACACCACACTTGTCCACAAGAAGCAATAACTTCAATTTTGGTGAGATATGCTTCTTTGCCTGTAAATATCTTGAGATTGCCAATTTTGTGCTGTTTCAGAGTATTTTCTGTCATCTGGCCTATATCTTCCCTAAGTATGTACGGGTGTAAAATAATTCCCATACTCAGGTCTGCCATAAACATGCTGCTTGCCAGCAGGGGAAGAGTAGATTTGACACTGTCTTGAAATGTGCGATTTTTCTGAACTTGTAACATACCCATGTCTCTTCAGTAGCAGCTCGTGTTTTGAAGTTCATAGTGGAGGTGGCTGTGAGTTGGTTTGTATTTAACCATACCCCGTACAATAACAAGGGAGTCAAGACTGCTGTCAGCACAGGGCACCCTTTGTCCTGGCTCTTACAAGTCAGTATATCTATGATAATGCTTCCCTTTGGAAAGAGGTAGCTCGTTTTCTTGCAGTGTGTACATTCAGCAATGAGTTGAGTAGGATGTAAAAGCAAAAATACAAAGCACACCACAAATTATTGGTATTTTAATTTTGGCAGGGATAAAGCCAAAAACAGATGGTCTTATTTGTAGTCAGGTTAGCTGTCATAATCAAGGGGAAGTGTACTGGGGTATTTTGGAAAGGAAAACATGTAGGGTATTTACAAAAATGTAGGTGGACACTTGTAACCTTGGTTTTTTTCCCTGCTTCTCTTATGATGTAAAGGGGGTTTATGACTGAATCTCAAGATTTATACATTTATCCTACTTCTTAATTTTAGCAGCACTGGGTTTTTAATTAAGCCTTGCTGAAAGGTTGGAGAGCTGGTACAACAGACTCCCAGGAAACTAAAATCTCAGCAAATATGGGAAAGATAATTTTTATTGAGAAATGTGGATCTTTGATGTTTATGGAGGGATATGTCTAATATGCAAGATGTGCTGAAGAACACTTTTAGTGCTCTGCCTTTTCTATGTGAGGGCTTTAGAAACTTGCTCCATTTCTTCCATGTTCCACCAAAAGCAAGGGACTTGGCACTTGGATGTTACTATCTCTCTTTGTAAATGGTGGCAAAATGTTGCTTTTGATGCAGACAGTGATCTCTCTGAGTTTCTTGTGGCTTTTAGCCGTTTTCCTGTATTGAAGGAGTATTTATGTGCAAATTTGGTACTAATTCTGCTGTGCAGTTGGGATTTTCCTGCTGAGAGACTACCACATGCCTGGGAGTGCAGAAGTGCTACTATGGGATGTTCCAGCTCACCTTTGGTAGTGGAGGATTATCTCTTTTTTTGATGAGTGCTATATTTGATGATTCACTTTCCACCCTTCCGAGCTTAAAAGTCATTTTAGTATCCATTTCTTCTCTGCCTAGCTGAAGATGAGATATATGTTAGGCCATATTCCTATATGAATAGGCTTTCCATTGGCATCAGCAAAAGTGATGTAAGAGGCTGTAACTGTAAGAGAAGGTTTCTTATGGATTTCCTACAATCCAGCCAAATGTGGTTTTTTTCATGCAGCTCCTACCACTTAACTTTTTGTCATTCAAAACACTCTGCATGAGAAATCCGTAACAGAACTATGTCCAGGATTTGTTTTCCTGAATGAAAAATCTATGATGTTTCTCCACATAAGTAACCTGCTTCTAAAATCAAGTTGGAGATGGTTTAGCCTGTTGGGGGTTAAAAAAGCCTATCCAGTCCATACTCTCAAATTACATTTGGTTATCTTACTCCACAATTATAGGCTGGCTTTCCAAGCTTGCTTGTGTTCTGTAAAGTCATGTCTCAATTAGTACATCAGAGCTGATGGTGGGATAAGCTGTAAAATGACCTCACTGTGGGGCATTATTAGTTGTTGAAGACTTGCTCAGGAAAACCACCATAGGAGTAACCTGCACCTGAAAAAGGAATATCCTGCACCTGAAAAAGGCTGGACTTAGTTCTGTCTTGGATGTAATAAGTTGCCAGTGTACAAGAAATAGAAGGCAGCCAGCTCACTACTGATCTTTCTGGCAGGTTTTAATCTATGTGTGTTTGTTTGAGAGACTTTTGCCCTTGGGTGTGTTTTGGCAAAGATTTTGCAACGATAAATAGGATTTGCTCGATTTTGGCAGAGTTTCAAGTGTAAGTAACCCGACATTGCAAGAACATAATCTGTTGCTGAATCCTGTTCCTCTTGTTTTCTCTCAAATCTGTCCCTTTTAATGCTGATATGTTATATTTCATAGTAAACACTTCTCAACACGACTGGTCACAAGCTCTCAAAGTGTGAAATTCTAAGAGAAAGAGACATCAAAGCTTGATTCTATGCTCTTGTATATATTAAGATGAAGCTGGAATATTTGTTACCATACAGTGAAGAATTCTCCCCTAGCTGATATTGCCAAAGCACTATAACTTTCAAGGAAGAAGGGAGGTGGCTTAGCTGTAGAGGGGATGCTTTAGTGAACTACATAAAAACTACTTGTAACAAATTTTAAGAGCTGCAGCGTGGCACTGAATGAGTGGTGATCCAGCGTTAACCTTTATCCCTTGATTACAGAGCTCATTCTGGCTCTTCCCACCCTTTGGCAGATACCTGCTGGGAGGGAGCAGAGTGTGTGCTCCCTTTTTTTTATATGCCTCTTCCTACAGAGCTAACCTTGCCCACAGTGAGTTAGAGGGAAGTCCATGCTAGCTTCTGAAATGCCACCTGTATGTGCAGTGGTAATGGACAAGATACCTTCCTTCATTACCCGGAGCAGAAATTGGAATGTAATTTGCAATG